CCCAGAATTCCTCAGCCAGCTTTGCTGGCTGAGGAATTCTGGGAGTTGAAGTCCACAAGTCTTAAAGTTGCCAAGGTTGGACACCCCTGGTGTACAAGATTACAAGGATTTTGTATACAGTGGTTAAAATGCAGTATCGCAGGCTGACTGCTCATGCCAAGAGTTCAATCCTGAAGATGCTCAAGATTGACTCAACCTTCCACCCTTCTGAGGTCAGTAAAGTGAGGACCCAGATTGTTGGGGGCATATGCTGACTCTAAACCGCTTAGAGAGGGCTTTAAAGCACTATGAAGTGGCACATATATCTTAAGTGCTATTGCTCTTTCATAGCACCTGCCCATTGTTTCATGCAACATATGCTCACCTGCACTCAGAAGTGCTTTCCGTAGCCTCTACTAACCCCAAGAATAAAAAATTATAATACCTCTATAAATTTACCCAAACTAGCAAGGTATTGTCACTTATTAAGCTAACAAAATTTCCATCCTTGCGCAAGTAGGCAATAAAAGCCAACGTAGAGCTTCTATTGTTGCATTCTATTTATATTATTCTATTCATCCTATTTAGCTCCTCTCCACTCTCCGCCTCCTAGCCATCCTTTAAATGCGCTTGGGAGAGATTTGGGTGCGTTCCGTAGCATTAACACCTAGGTTGTTACGTACGACTGATACATTAGGTGGTTTGGAGGGGATGGAATTAAAAAAAAAAATCCAGGCTTACCCCTTCAGTGTTTATAAACAATTTTCCCACACATTCTTGCTGCTTATACCGGATCTAAATATGCATATTTTAATCCTCCCCATCAAAAAATATCTGCGATTTTATCTAAGAATCTCGTCTTTTCCTTCCCAAATCACCTCCGTTGATCGGCAATGTCACAATACAACCATATTGAACTGGCGTGGGTCTTACCGCCCACTCCTCGCTCTCCAAAGTCGTTGCCTTACCTATTTGGTAAGGAGCGGGAGAACACAGAACCGACGTAAAGAAAGCGACAGTTCGGCTTACTACGACCTTGGGTTTCCCCAGTGTAATTCTAAGTAGCTTTACTCAAAAGTAGGAACGGTGTAGCGAGCGGGCTCACCGCCCCGAAACGAGCCAGCGCTCGAATTCGAGCATGAATTAGCTCGGCGCTCCGCAATCCGGGTGGGTTTCCTTGATCGATGCGCTCTGCAATCCAGGCAGCGACTGCAAATCGCCCGGAGACTACGGTTCTCTGGTATACTGACTCTCCTGATTTTGGGGAAGCCGCTGCTCAACGGCTTTGGTATTCCTTCCAGCAAGCCAAGGAAGGCGGTTCGATGCGCTCTGCGCTCCTGACCTAGTCCGGAAGGAATCGTGGCGCCGCCGCCGCCGCCGCCGCCGCCGCCACCGATCCTCGGCTGATGGTGTGAGCGACCCTCTTCCCAGGCCGCGGCCTTTCCCACCGTCCGGCGCCATGAACCTGCTCCCCGTTAATCCGCACGGGAACGGGTTGCTCTTCGCCGGCTTCAACCAGGACCACGGTAGGGGATCTCCGGGGGCGCCGGGTGAGCGGGGGACGGAAGGGGAAGGTAGGGTGGTCGTCTGCTTGCCCGCCTTGCCCTCCCCCGTGCCCCATTTCAGACGTTTGCGGGCACGGAAACACGGGCCTGCTTGCTTCCCTGTCCCCTCCCCGGTTCTTCGCTTCAGCCGCTTTTGGGAAGAGCGTCGGTTGTTAGGCCAGTTTCCCAGGAGGAGGTTAGCGAAAGGCCGGGAAGCTGAGTGCGGCGCTGGGGACCCGGGCAGAGAATCCGCGCAGCTTTTCCTTCTGGAGGCGCTTTGGGTCTTCGGCACGTACGTGCTGTGGGCGCCTCGGCGCCTGGGCAGATACTTTTGCCCCCCTTTTTTTGCCGCTGCTACCGCTCTCTTTTCTGTTTGGGGCAGTGGTTGTTGGCACAAGGCCTTGATTTAACTACGGTTTGTTCACTCCAGTTTTCTGGACTCGCAAGACTGAAAAGCCACCGACCAGTCAGTCTGTGTGTTCGGTGACTGAGAACAGACTTGGGAGGTTTTCCCGGGTAAGAGAGGGCCAGTTCCCCATCGGCTAGTTCTAAGTAGAGGAGTCAGCAGGAAGAAAGCCAGAGGTTAGCGGAACTGATTTATGGTGAAGAATCACACCCATCCCACTCCTATATAATTTTTTTTTAACAGATTTTATTAATTTTTAAAGACATACAAAACAGAAATACACAGAAATACAAAACAAAAGCATAAAAAATCTCTTTTCTGAAAGTTGCTTAGTCCCGGGTTAAAACTCTTGGTACAGACTCCTATATAATTTCTATTGCATCGAAATGCTGTGTAGTTTTGTGCCCTCCCCAAGATAAATAAGCTTTTATGAGGCAGAAATATTGACGTAGGCAGGGCCTGGCCCTTTGTGCTGGGCTAAGCCCTCACTTTTTCCTTTCTACAGCAGATCGGCAATTTAACCTTTGTAAATAGGTACCAATCCTGACCTGCAACTCTTCCTGAAATAGAGTTCTAGTCTCTTCCTTATGGCCAAGTTAAAATGCTATTCACTGATTCTTCTTTTTTTTTTTTTGAAACATTAGATTATAGAATAAAATACAAAAATACAAAAGCAAATAGTGGGACACAGTGGGGAGGAGAAAAGAAAAAAAGGCAGTTGATTTCCGACTTCCTCTGTTGGAGTAGAATAAGGCATTAACATCGAACCTCAACTTTTTACTTTTCCATAATAATATAAGCTAGCAAATAACAACAAATCAGTAAACTGAAAATCAAGTTTCATTTTTTTTTCTACCTCAAGCACAAAGTCCAGAAGTAGTTTCCATGTAGCAACAAAAGTACTTATATTCTTTTCTTTGATCAAAATGGGCAATTTAGGCCCAATCTCTGCCAACTCCATCAGCTTCTGTAGCCATTCATCCATAGGGGAAATTTAATTGTCCTTCCATTTTTGTGCGTACAGTAGTCTTGCTGCCATCAACATATATAAGATCAAAATTCCAATTTTTTCCCCAAGTCTTTTTCCATTAATCTATTCATTGATTCTTGAGCCGGCAAAAAAAGTATGCTGTCCTAAAGTGTGCCACTTCTTTCTGTGGCCGATCCCTATTCTGCCACACTAACAAAGATAGTGAATGGTGCTTAATTTACTGCAGGGTAAGTTAAAAAAAGGATTGATGGACCCCCATTTAGTTTCTCTTCCAAGATTTAATCGCTGATGGAAAACAACCATAACTCCTCCTTATATGTGTTAGGTGAATTTTAGACAT